ATTTATTTCCTCGAAAACCGGAAAAGTGAGAAAGTCATTTTTCTATATTCTGTGGGGGAATGTTTGTTCTACAAGTGGACAGCATTTTGATTTTGCTTCATCATCGGACAATTTTTGACAAATTTTCAAAATTTTGTTTGGTTTGGAAGATTCTTATTGCAGGCCGGAGTTTGGCATTTATTTCCTCGAAAACTGGAAGTTAGGGAGTCACTTTTTTATATTCTGTGGGGAAATGTTTGTTCTATAAGTGGACAGCGTCTCGATTTTGTTTCATCATCGGACAATTTTTGACAAATTTTCAAAATTTTGTTTGGTTTGGAAGGTTCTTTTTGCAGGCCGGAGTTTGGCATTTATTTCCTCGAAAACTGGAAAAGTTAGAGAGTCACTTTTTTTATAGTCTGTGGGGGAATGTTTGTTCTATTAGTGGACGGCGTTTCGATTTTGCTTCATCATCGGACAATCTTGGACAAATTTTCAAAGTTTTGTTTGGTTTGGAAGGTTCTTATTGCAGGCCGGAGTTTGGCATTTATTTCCTCGAAAACTGGAAAAGTTAGAGAGTCACTTTTTTATATACTGCGGGGGAATGTTTGTTCTATAAGTGAACAGCGTCTCGATTTTGCTTCATCATCGGACAATTTTCGACAAATTTTCAAAAATTTGTTTGGTTTGGAAGGTTCTTTTTGCAGGCCGGAGTTTGGCATTTATTTCCTCGAAAACTGGAAAAGTTAGAAAGTCACTTTTTTTATATTCTGTGGGGGAATGTTTGTTCTATTAGCGGACAGCGTTTCGATTTTGCTTCGTCATTGGACAATTTTGGGCAAATTTTAAAAATTTTGTTTGGTTTGGAAGGTTCTTTCTGCAGGCCGGAGTTTGTTATTTATTTCCTCAAAAAGTCGAAAAGTTAAAGAGTCACTTTTTCTGTTTGCCGTATGGGACAAGGTCTGTACTATAAGTGGGCAAGGTTTCGATTTTGTGTCATCATCAGACAATTTATGACAATATAAAAACAGATAGACTTTCGAGGCCATTCCTAGAATCTAATGGGGTTTACGGGTTTTTTTTAGCCCGTCGTTGAAATCAATAATTGAAGTTTGTTGTTTTCCTCCAGGATTCACGTTTCAAATTTCTGCTAAAAATCCAACGTTATCGATTATGTGCTTCGATATTTATTATAAAATTAAACATCCGCGTCTCTACCAGTTTGCAACCGAACAAAAATCCCGATAATCGAAAACCTCACTTCCGAATTAGTGTGGAATTCTTGATCTTCGCCCGAACGGTTTTCTTGGGCGGGGAAAAACCAGCAAACCGTTCGCCACCGGACGTCTCTAATTAAACATTTGCACTTGAAACAATCAAACCGTACAAATCGAATTCCGAAAAGATCGAGGCGGCCTTTGATTCGGGGCAAAAAACATTCTTCAGATGAAAGTCAGTCGTTCAATTGTTTTGTCAAAGGTCAGCATGACATTTCATAAATCGGCGCTCAATGGCGTTGTTGAGTTACCAAAGTGGGCGCGATCAACCCAGCCTTATTTTTACCATCTAGTTATGCGAGCGAAGAGTGCAAGGGATTGGAAACAGTCGAACATATGCTAGTAGGAAGGACACACACCTACGCGTCCAGAGCTATATTAGAGCGATACTTGGGCCAGTCCGCCACTCTGAACTTTAACTGGTCGAAGGCCAACTGGAGCGCTATTTTACGTTCAAAAGTGGCCTCAATGGGGCCCCGGATCCCTTGAGATCCGCGGCAATTTTCCCAGCAATCACCGTAAAACTCGGGTAAAACTTACCAACTGCAACGGCGCCCAAAGTATCCAGCCAACCTGCACAGGCAACTTCGGAATACCCTCGCTATAAATAACTACAGTCCACTAGCGAACATTCAACTTAGAAACCTGATTCAATTTTTTCTGCACGAGAGCACTTCTTCACTGGGGGGCGTCCGCGCTGCGCCCAACCGCTCGCTCTTTCCGCGCCCAAACAGCCCTGGGAGCAAGTTTCTGAGGGGGCGCAAGAGCGCACACAAACAAAACGAAGCGGGCGCTGATTTGATTTTTCCACTGACGTTGCGCCTACTCGACAATCGCCCGGACTGATCGTGAATCGTCGACAGGTAGGTTGTTAAAGTCAAGAATGCAGTGGTGGAACAGGTATGTGGAAGGACTACGAAGACCTAACAGGCTTTACCATTCGAATACCGCGCGTCAGTGCGCTCTATCGCGGCAAGCTTTACTGGGCATGACACCAAACGTCCAAACGTCAGATGTCAATGTCATATACAACAAAACACTACTTGCAATGGATCAAAGTGGCCTGGTTAATAGTATAACTTGACTATAACCAACTTGCGTTTCCTGCGATAACTGCAACTGCCAACGCTAACCCTAAGTTAACTGGCCGTTAGCATTATAGCGTCAGTTTACAAACTAATCAAGAGTTTATAAGGAGCGAGCTTCAAACCCCACTATAAACCACCAATTTGCCATAAGCCCGTGTCCCGTGCATCCGTTTGTACGATGATACGAAAGTGTTTCTATTGGTTGGAGATCTGTCAATTCGTCCACGTCGTACGACGACGGAAATTTTCAAAATTTCGTTTAGTTTGGAAGGTTCTTTTTGCAGGCCGGAGTTTGGCATTTATTTCCTCGAAAACTGGAGAAGTTAGAGAGTCACTTTTTGTATATTCTGTGGGGGAATGTTTGTTCTATAAGTGGACAGCGTTTTGATTTTGCTTCAACATCGGACAATTTTTGACAAATTTTCAAAATTTTGTTTGGTTTGGAAGGTTCTTTTTGCAGGTCGGAGTTTGGCATTTATTTCCTCTAAAAATGGAAAAGTTAGAGTCACTTTTTGTATATTCTGTGGGGGAATGTTTGTTCTATAAGTGGACAGCGTCTCGATTTTGATTCATCATGGGACAATTTTTGACAAATTTTCAAAATTTTGTTTGGTTCGGAAGGTTCTTTTTGTAGGCCGGAGTTTGGCATTTATTTCCTCGAAAACTGGAAAAGTTAGAGAGTCACTTTTTGTATATTCTGTGGGGAAATGTTTGTTCTATGAGTGGACAGCGTTTTGATTTTGCTTCATCATCGAACAATTTTTGACAAATTTTCAAAATTTTGTTTGGTTTGAAAGGTTCTTTTTGCAAGCCGGAGTTTGGCATTTATTTCCTCGAAAACTGGAGAAGTTAGAGAGTCACTTTTTTATATTCTGTGGGGGAATGTTTGTTCTATAAGTGGGCAGCGTTTTCATTTTGCTTCATCATCGAACAATT